GACTCATCACTACAGTTATCATCTCAAGTAGATGCGATAGCCAGGAGTGCTTGGAATCAACTTCAGTTGATTCGCCAATTATGTCCCTACCTGGACCAAAGGGACCTTGAACAAGTAGCACTTGCCCTAGTAATTTCTCATTTGGATTTCTGTAATGCACTCTACATGTACCAAGTCCGGAAGCTTCAACTGGTTCAAAACGTGGTAGCCAGGTTGGTCTCCAGATCATTTAGAACAGACCATATTACTCCTGTACTAAAAGCTCTTCACTGGCTGCCGATTAGCTTCTGGGCGCAATACAAAGTGTTGGTCATTACCTATAAAGCCCTACATGGTTTGGGTCTGAGTTACTTGAAGGAATGCCTCTCCCCAAACAATTCGCCCTGCACTCTCAGAACATCAGGGAAGAATTTATTAAATTATTGTAAAACCAAGCTAACATCAACTTCCCAAAGATCGTTCATAGCTGCAGCCCCCAAGCTATGGAACAGCCTGCCGGAAGAGATCTGGCTTATCTCTATGCTAGGAGCCTTTAAGAAGGCACTCAAGACGAAGCCTTCTGGTGGGCCTATCCACCTGATCGCCCTAATTGAATAGTAAGATAAAATATTATCATCTCATATGGACCTCCCAGGTGAGAATCTGATTACCATTACGGTATAGATCACCTCACAATCTTTATACTGATTATTTGCTGTTCTATTATTGTTTTTATTGGTTTTTATTGTTGTTGTTTTTATTATCATGTTTTATATATTGTATAGTGCTGTACATTTTATCATTCTGCTCCTGCCTCGATCCATAGGGAGAGGCAGGAAAATATAAATTATTATTATTATTATTATTATTATTATTATTATTATTACCACCTCTGCTGTTCCATAGGGTTTAGTGTCTCAAACTGTGGAATGGAAACCTTAAATGAGGGTCACAAGGCTCCTGCTGATGGACCATAAGAGCTCAGCACAGACAGTGTGCCATGCTCTCTCTCTCTCTCTCTCTCTCTCTGTACCTATATTCAAGTCACCTGTTGACTTATAACGAGGAAGCACCATTTCTTAAGGAAGCATGATTCAGAGGTGCCCCCCCCCCAGTTCCTTCATTTGAAATATAGTCTACAGTGCCTGGTATTTGTTGGTGGAGCCCCATCCAAGTACTAGCCAGGGATGACCTCACTTACACTAGATTCATCTGAACTGTAAAGGACTGAGAAGTGATGACTTATGATTCACAAAGTTGCTGGAGGACAATTAGCAGCACAGAAAGGGTTAGTTGGCAGGTGGCAAAGGGGAGATGCATATGCTTTATTGAATTATGTATTAATTTGTATAGTACTGTCAGGGCAAATGGTATTTTACTGAGCTTGAGTGAAAAGTTCCTTGCCTTGCAAAGCCTAACCTTCAGTACTGAATGGAGAAACAGATTGGAGGAGAGTGAAGCAAAGAAGCAACATAGATTTGTTTCACTTGTACATACTTGAAACCTCTTCCAGTTCACATAAACAACACACCTATAAAGAGGGAACCCACCTGTGCTATCATTTGCTTCATGGACCCAGACCCCATGCCTGTTTTGTTAGCAGACCATTTGGAATGGGGAACTACTAATATTTAGATATGTTGGAAATAGAGTACAACTCCTTACACTCAAGCTAATGTGCCCACAGGGAGAAATATTGGTGGATTCAGATAGGTACACCTCACATTAGCTGGAAGAAGAGAAGATTGAAGGTGGTATGAGAGCTATAAATATCTGAAAGGATGTCATGTAGAAGATGGAACAACTTGTTTTCTGCTGCTCCAGAGACTATAAAATGAAGCAATGGATTCAGATTACACGGAAAGAGATTCCACTTAAACATTAGGAAGAACTTGATGATAAAAGCAGGAACAGACTGATTTGTAGGGTGGAGAACTCTCTTTTGGTGGTCTTTAAACAGAGGTTGGTAAAAGGCGAAAGATTTATAAACAGAGGTTGGAAGCATTTTAGTTGTATTTCTCTGCATGGCAGGAAGTTGGCTAAATAGTCCTTGTTATCCCTTCTAAGGGCCTTGGCAGACGTCTTATTGAGCCGTCTTGGAGGCAAGGAAGAGGAGGGGCAGCCACACGTGCAGCACCCCTTCCTCTTCCCGAGGTTGCCCTCAGAGCTGCCGGCCCTCCGCACGGCCGGCGCGCCGAGGGCAACCTCCTGCCGCAGCGTCCTCACACGCTGCGGCGGAAAAGACAGGGAAAGTGCGCCCTACGCGTTTAGGGTGCACTTTCCCTGTCTTCTAAAAGGAGCGCCAATTTGGAGCTCCTTTTAGGGTCGCCGCAGGAGTGCCGCAGTGCTGAGGCTATGGTCCCGCAGCGCTCCGGACCAGGGCGTCCCTGACGCCCTGGTCTGCATCCCCCCCTAACTCTATCATTCCATGATTCTGTGTGTCTCCCTCTTTATCTGGTTTGATCTCTCTTCCTTCACCACATAAGATGATATTTCCAGGATGTGTTCCATCTCAGCAATGGTCTAGCTCCAACTTTCTGAAAATAATAAACACAGATCTCAAAAAAAACCCATAAACAAACAAACAAACAAACAAAAAACCCATGATTTTTCAGAAGGCAAATCAGAGATGTCAGAACTTGGCAATTATTTCCCTACTGGTGCAAAAAAAAGGTCAGTCTGTCAGTAGTGTCACTGGGGGGTACAGGCTGCACCGAGTGGCACCTCAGAAGGGGGGGTGACACCCAAAAAGGAGGGGTGACATCAGATTGGCTCCTCACCCCTGTGGGCACTATTTTAGAGCCTTTTTAGTATGCCTAGGCCCCATGAGGAGGCATTTTGGGTGGCCAGGGCCCCACATAGAGGCATTTTGGGCCACCTAGGCCCCATGCTGAGGCTTTTCAGATGGTCTGCACCCTGTGTGGAGGCTTTTCAGGTGGCCTACACCCCATGCACAGGCTTTTTGGGCAGTCTATGCCCAGTGTGGGGCATTTTTGGGTTGCCTACGCCTCAGGTGGGACCTTTTTGGGTGGCCTAGGCCCCGTTTAGAGGCTTTTGGGGCTGTCTCTACCCCAGAAATGCCACTGGAAGTCTGAGAGCAGAAGTCCTGCCCCTTCATAAGTCCAGGGCCAGAAACCCTGCCCCCTCAAAAGCACCTCCCCCACATCAGGTGTCACCCAGTGTGGGAATGCTACTACTGCAGCCTGTCTATCTAGTGCAAGCTCATATTAACAACATTGGTCAGCTCAAGATGGCTCAAGATCCTGAAGCAGGACATGAATGTGACAGTCTTTCCTTTTGCTTTCCAAACAACTGGCTTTTAGTGACATACAGCCTCTCAAGACCATAGCTTGGGGCCCAGGGTCAAGAATGATAAAAGGTATCTCTGAATGTGACATCCACCACCCTCTTGTTTATGAGTTCATGGACTGGGGGCAGGACAAGTAGCAGCAGAAGACCCTGACATGTGGCAACATTACCTGGAGACCAAGGGACAGTGCTCCTGACTGTCTAGTTGTAATCATGCCCCTGCTGCATCTGAACCCAGGGTGACCAGATGTCATAATTACAAAGGAGAACAAGACACCACAAAATGCAGGGCATTCAATAAGAATGTAGGACATTACCAAATAAAACCTAAAACACTAATATAAATATAAATTCATTTCATATGGTTAATTTACAACTATATTACATATACTATATTACATATACATATATTATAAGAGGCTCAAAATTGTACTTTACTATCAACAAACCATTGACTGGATCTACACTTAAATTGTTATTTTCATGTGTAGTTTTTTCATTTGCTCTCTTGTCTCTCGTGCTTCTTCCTCAACTCAAATCATACACTGGTTGGCAGTTGTTCTGGCAGTGGGGAGTTGGGAGATTAGTGTGGAGCTTGGGGTGAATGTGTGAGATTTAGGATTAATAATAATAATAATAATAATAATAATAATAATAATAATAATAATAAATTTTATTTCTAACCCACCCCTCTGCTAGGCAACCGGGGTGGCGTACAACAAATTAAAACAATACAAGAGTAAAACACATTGCCAAGTATTCCCCCTAACCCTCCCACCCCTTAAAAATAAATTAAACTGAGATAGTATTACAAACAACAAGAATGATAAAACATTGAGTACTAAAATCATAAAACAAGTAGCAGCAAAACAATAGTGGCTAAGGATAAGGTGGGGAGAGGATTGATAAGCCAGATCATCCAAGGGGGAGCCAGGAGATTATTCCGGGAAGGCCTGCCAGAAGAGATCCATCTTTACTGCTTTTTTAAAGCAGTCAAGCATGATAATAAGATGGATCTCATCTGGCAGGCCATTCCATAATCTTGGAGCGG